CGGGCTTCACCGGTCTCGCCACTGCGAGAAATAGCCAGACCAAGAAAGTGTGTGTGTGTGTGTGTGTGAGAGAGAGAGAGAGAGAGAGAGAGAGAATGGCGAGGGAGATGTGACTTTCGTGGAAATCCTTCTCGATTCCCTTTAAGACTTGGATAGCCTAAAGCTCTGTCGCCCTCCTTCTTCTGATCCAGATTTTACAGATATCCTCTTTAAAGAATAAAATAAAAATGCAGCAAAATAAATCAGCGAAAGGGTTTGGTGGTGGTTGTATTTTTGCTTGTTTTTTTTAATTAAAAAAACACATGCAGGTTAGTAGACATTTTTGCACGAATAAAAAAAGAAACAAGGAGTTAAATGATGCTGGAGTGGGGTGTTTGTGTGTAAGGGAGGTGGGAGTGTCACCCGATTACGGAGAGCTCCTGATCGAGATGGGAATGGAAGGTCCATTGTGAAAAGCTTACGAAGTCTTGGCTACTAGACCTTTAGCCACAGACATGGTTAACTCCTTCCTAACTGCGCAGGAGAGAGTGCCTGAAACAGAGAAACTGGTGCCGAGTTCTCAAGGGGGAGCAAGACCTGGGCTGACCAATCCCCGCCTCTCGGTTCCCCCCTGCACCTCGAGCCCAAAGCAGCGACTCATCTTCCACGCTTGGGAGGCTGGAGCAGAGGTGGACCGAGATAACCGCACTTCTCTAACGCTCGGCACCCTAGGGCATTGTCTGCTTAGGATACACATTCTGATGTTCTCCGCCTCCTGTTCCCTCCATTCCGAGGCAACCGCATCTCTTTCGCTGCCCTATCTTTTCTCCGTCTGCCCTCCTGTAGTGGGCGTTCAGATATAGGGCGCTTGTCCCAGCGGCACCATGGGAAGCACCTTGATCACAAACGCCCCGATCCACTTGGCGGTGTGGACCTTCGGGTCGGGGAAGGGAAAGCCCTGCCCGCCTTTGGCGGTGGGGCCAGGTGCAGCTTTACCTCCCAGCAGTCTCCCGTGGAGGAAAGTCTCTGCCCACGTGCCTGAAAAGGTGCCAAACCACATCCGCAGAGTGTGTGCGAAGAGAGGGGGGGGGCTCCTAAGGTTCATTCATGCACATAACAAGCCTCCTGAAGGTGAAAGGTTGCTCCAGCGCTTGGCCTGACACTGGCAGAAGGGAAGCCGCATTTCCTAGCCCGCCCCGCGTCTCCCACCCCTTGATCACCACTTCAGTCACTTACCCCACTCCACCTGTTGAAGCAGAGATCCCCTCATTTCTGCCTAGCATGTCAGAACTGACCAAAAAAGAGAAGAAAGTCGAAAGACAGAGGGAGACGAGAGGAGAGGCTGGGGGGTGGGTGGGATAGAGGGGGTAGGGTGGGCAGCGGTTGGATCAAACAAAACCAAAACACCTCTTGGGCGACTTCATCGAGGCGGTCATCCTTCATTTCTTCTTTTCTTGCTTTCTGGGAGCAGCTGGGGATTGTATGGAGAGGCAGAAATGAACCTTCAGGATGATATTTTAATGGCTTATATGTCACGTTGGTGCATGTGGCTTTGAACTGGAGCAGCTTTCGTTTCCTGCAGAGAGCATGCCGCAAATCCCACTTGATAACTTCTGCAGCCCACAACACTTGCACACAGAGCGCGCGCAGACACACACACACACACACACACACACACACAAATGGACTTTATATCTGAACATGTTCCCAACAGCAAACAAACAAACAAACTTTGGACTGTACCCTTCCACGGCTGTTGACTCTTGAGACGGGGTTAAGTGTCGCTCTGCATTTTGGAGAGGCGAATCTATTCCCTTTTGCTAACTTCAAGTATGTGTAGATTATTCTCTCTGGGACCAAACGTTCCTGAGATTCTTGCCCGTCGCTCTGGGATTAGGCATACTAGAGCGAAGGGGCGAAAGAGCAAGATCTCATTACATATACCAAGTCTAACACATGAAAACTCTTTATATTCCTTATCAAGGGAAGATGCTTCAGACCTGTTGCTTTAGGACCTTAGATGTGTGCTTGTATGTATGTATGTATGTATGTGTGTATGTGTTTGTATGCGTCTGTGTACACACACACACACACAAACAAACAAACAAACATTGTGTGTGTGCGTGCGTGCGTTTGTGTGTGCAAGCCTTCTTTCATGCAAGCAGCATTGCCTCCGCTATCGGTCAGAAACTATGAAGCCGTGCTAATAGAACTGCCCCGAATATCCTCCTTTATGCATTGAACCTACTCGGAAATCTGATATATAGTAATATATCAGTAAAAAGGTGGTTTTTGTTTTACTTAAACCAAACAGTGTGCCCTTCCCACATTTCACTGAAATATATAGCTCTGAAATAGGAAATATTTTTCGTGCACTTTTATCTGCCAAGGGAATTGATTCCTAACTCCTTCAACAGAAAACAGGATAAATCAGGTTGGGAAAAAGTCATAGCGAAGTCACATAAAGGCTGGACAAAGGTTCAAAACCCGAAGGGCTTTGATTTCTAGTTAACATTTATTAACATCCCTCTTCCTCTCTGTCTAACACACAGGCTCACATTTTCTTTATTGGGGTTGGGGATGGTCCAGGTTAAAATATTCTTATTATGGCTTTTTAAAAAAAGCAAAACTAAAAACACTGTTCTCAGCAAAGCGCACCCTTTCTCAAAACTACACGGGCATCACAGGGAATAACATACCCAAGTTGCTTTACTTAATTGATTGAGTCACAAAGATTGTCTCTTTTTAAGTAACCATACTTCTACATCTCGACAATCATTTTAATATATAGTCAATGGGTCTTTGTAACAGGAACAAAGAAGAACTATCCGTAGTTTTTCAATAGACTTGAGTTGGGTAAAGACAGGTTAATCGAGGGGTTGCATCTAGAAAACAAGCAAGTGTTGTATGTTTGCACTGAATCCAAATGTCTGCATTTTCCTAACTAAATCAAAGGGAGTGTTATTTCTTTTTCTGCTCACTCATCTGAAGGTAAGTAAATTTTCTCTGGCGATCACAAGCTTGGTCAGCAACAAAGGCGCCGCCTGCTTTTTCCACCGTCCTGGTGTGGCAAGTTGAGGAATTTCAATAAATGTGACAAGGGTGACTGATTTGTGAACTAGAAAAGGTTTGAGCGTCAGAAAATTTATATTGCTCCTATCTAGTGAGGATTTCAAATACATTATAAAACCCCAGGATCCAAAAGCTCCATGCAGCACAGAAGAGACAAAAGCAACTTTTGGGGGTGGGGGAAATACAGTCTTTTTTTTTTACCTGAATGAAAGAGGTCGCGTAAAAAAGAAAGAAGAAAAAAAACAAGAAACAAAGTGCAGGGAGATACAATAACAACACTACACTACACTACACACACACACACACACACACACACACAAACAAACACACAGGCAGAAAGTTAAGCGCTCTCACCCACCTGCCTTTTGATGGGTGCTAAAAAATAATTCAGAAAAAACAAAGTGATGGAACGTTACAGCCGTTTCCCCACAGAAATCACGCTTGCTGTTTTAAAGCAAAATCTAATGTAACCAACACATGCGTTTTGGAGAGCATCTGAAAGAAAACAAGGAGGAAGCCCAAATGGAAAAGGAGCAAGTCACAAAAGGACTTCCCTGGGCAACTCCTTCAAAAGTTGTGTTGTTCAAAGATCTCGATCTCCAGGAACCAAGGATCACCATCACAAGAAAGAAGGAAAAGATAGGCACAGGAATAACATCTACATCTTTCTCTATCTCCATAAAACAGCTATAGAAAAGAGAGCTTTGGAATATTGTCGAGCCGAAATATATATCTATACCTATATATTATATATGTTTATGTATATAAAAAGTTGCTACTCCTGTACAAGCCTGTTTGTCAAAAGCGATGTCAATGCGCTTCACAATACCTGGGATTGATGAGCTGAGCTGGCCAATCAGGAGAGAAGAAAGGTTTTGCGCACCCTTAGTTGGAGAGGAAGGAGGGAGTTGCAAGCGAAAGTGGGAACCGCGAGGCACCAATGATCAGCGACGTCGGTCTTTACGTAGCTCCTCCTCCTTCTCCCATTCATCAAGGGGGGGACGGTGTCGTCTTTTCAATTCATTTATCTGCAGGAATGATTGCCGCTATCAGTCTCGCGTTCACCGCCCGGCTGAGGAGGTGAAAGTTTCTCCCCAGGAAGATAAACCGCAAAAGACAATATTGTGCATGATTTGCGCCGTTTTTTTTTTTTTAACAAAGCAGGGGGAAAAAAGGAAAGTGAAGGGGGAAAAAAGCCCAAGGAGGGGGAAAAGAGACGGAAGGGGGAAAAGAGTGCGAGAACTGGAAGAGAAGAGAAAATTGCTCGCTAGTCCGCTACATTCCTCTAGCCTCTTTTTTAAATTAAAAAAAAAAAACCAGAACTGAAGGAAGTTTAATTTTTGTTTTGCTCCCCCCTCCCCCGTCTGAGCCTGTTTCCTCCTCTCTCTTCACCATTGTTATTCGCGAGCGGAGTCTTCTGAATCCTTCCCCTCCTCCCCACTGAACCCCCCTGAAAAAGTGCAGTCCGAGAGGCGAGAGAGGGGGCGATCGGTTTTTCTGTGCGCGCGCCGATGTCTTTTTTATTCTTATTCTCCAATTTTTGCAGCTTCTAGATTTCTTCCGCGGGCTCTGCCCACCCCTAAGCCCTCACCCACCCTCTCGTTTTGTGTGTGTGCGTGTGTGTGTTTTGGGTGCGCGGATGCCGAAGGGGGAGTTCCTGATGTGGTCGCTTTAGTGGTGAACGTCGCGCGGACTTTTGCAAGAGAAAGAGAGAGAGAGGCTGCTTGGATTGGCGGCGGCGGCGACGGCGGCTCTCTTCCTCGTCGGCTGATCCGGCAGTTTGTTGGCTGCTGCTGCTGCTGTTGCTGCTGCTACTGCTGCTTACCCCCACTTCTTCCACGTCCTTTCCCCCCCTTCCTCCTTAATTTATATTTTCTTAAATCTTATTTCATTTTTGCATCACTTTTCCTCGGCGGTTGCTGCCGCAGCTGCCTGAGAGCCGGGAGAAGATGTTGCTGGATGCCGGACCGCAGTACCCCGCCATCGGAGTGACGACCTTCGGCTCCTCTCGCCACCACGCCACGGGCGACGTGACGGAGCGCGAGGTGGGACTGGGCATCAACCCTTTCGCCGACGCCGGGATGGGCGCCTTCAAGCTCAACCCCAGCAGCCACGAGCTGGCCTCGGCCGGCCAGACCGCCTTCACTTCGCAGGCCCCTGGCTACGCGGCCGCGGCGGCGCTGGGGCATCACCACCACCACCCGGGCCACGTCGGCTCGTACTCCAGCGCGGCCGCCTTCAACTCCACGCGGGACTTTCTCTTCCGCAACCGGGGCTTCGGCGAGGCGGCGGCGGCGGCCAGCGCCCAGCACAGCCTCTTCGCCTCGGCGGCCGGCAGCTTCGGCGGACCGCACGGGCACGGCGAGGCGGCGGGCCACCTCCTCTTCCCGGGCCTCCACGAGCAAGCCACCGGCCACGCGTCGCCCAACGTGGTCAACGGGCAGATGCGCCTGGGCTTCTCCGGAGACATGTACGGCCGGCCGGAGCAGTACGGCCAGGTGACGAGCCCGCGCTCCGAACATTACGCTTCGCCGCAGCTGCACAGCTACGGCCACATGAATATGAACATGGCAGCCCACCACGGGCCGGGGGCCTTCTTCCGCTACATGCGCCAGCCCATCAAGCAGGAGCTCATCTGCAAGTGGATCGAGCCCGAGCAGTTGGCCAACCCCAAAAAGTCCTGCAACAAAACTTTCAGCACCATGCACGAGCTGGTGACTCACGTCACCGTGGAGCACGTCGGCGGGCCCGAGCAGTCCAACCACATTTGCTTCTGGGAAGAGTGTCCCAGGGAAGGGAAGCCTTTCAAGGCCAAATACAAACTGGTCAACCACATCCGAGTCCACACGGGGGAGAAACCTTTCCCGTGCCCTTTCCCGGGATGCGGGAAAGTCTTCGCTCGCTCGGAAAATCTCAAGATCCACAAAAGGACGCACACAGGTACGTTCCCAAACCAACCGACCGGGCCGAGCCGCCCGTTGCCTGTTGAAGCGAACCCTCGCGCTTTCCAAGAAGGAGGCAGCTCAAAACAAATCAAAGGGGGCAGGGGGAGGGAGGGGGATTAGGGAAGAAATATAGGGGTGGGGGCTCCTTTCTTAAACAAATCCACATCAAGAGCCGGATTCAGTTCAGCTGGTGAATTAATTGGCACTATAAACCAAACATTGCTTTTCTTTTTCTTTATTTTTTTTAAGTGGGAAAAATCAAATATAAGGTAGGGCTCTAAATGTTTCAGGAAAAAAAGGGGAGATTAGGGTGTGGGGTGGAGGGGAAAAGATGGCAGCGATTTGAATTGTTAAAATTTATTGGTTTTAATTAATTGGTAGTCGAGGGCACTGACTGTCTTACAGTGAGAAATCCTGCTAAATATATGGCTACCTAACCTCAGCTTTCCTTGCTATCTATTTCTCACCCTCTGTAAATATTTAATTATGTGGGGCTATTGTAAGTAATCTGAGCTGTACGAGTTTATGTATTATTACAAGGAAACGTGGGGGCTGGGAGCGCTGAAATCACTCGCAAATCACCAGCTCCCTGTTCTAATATTTCTTGTGTTGTCTTTTCCTTCTCCCTCTCCTTTTGGAAAAAGAAATCCCACAACCTGTCGTGTGTTTATCTAATTTTTTTTTTAAAAATCTAAAGCTGGCGCTATTGTGATTTGAACAGTTTAATCAGAAGTGTGCAATGCACTGCAAGTTTAATAACTAATACTACTGTGCAGCCGTGGAAGGTTATGTGTACACTACGTAATAAATAAGGAAAGGAAGGGAAAGTAAACAAGCGCCAAATTTAGCCATAAAAGTGGCAACAAACCTTCCCTTCCTTCCAAAACTGTGTGCAAATGTACTCCTTTGCCAGGCGTTCATTTTCTGGTGAGATGCCACAGTTCTCTGTTTAAAAGAAAGATAAGAAAAATGGGGAAAGAAAACAGGCTTTGATTTAATTTACTCTTGTTCAGTAAAGTGGGGGTTAGAATTGGCTGTAGGTGTTGCTCCATACTATAAAAATCTAGGTGCCAGATTTCCAATTAGGTCGACTTTGTTTGTTTTTGTAATAGGTGAAAAACCCTTTAAGTGTGAATTCGAGGGCTGTGACAGGCGCTTCGCCAACAGCAGCGATCGCAAAAAGCATATGCACGTCCACACTTCAGACAAACCTTATCTCTGCAAAATGTGCGATAAGTCCTACACGCATCCGAGCTCCCTCCGAAAACACATGAAGGTAAATGCTAGACGTAGTTTCTCCCCCCCCTTAAGCTTCTCTTTTCATTGGGATCTGCTTGGGCCGGGTGGCCTTCGCCTCTCTCCTTCCACCATCGACTTTGCACACCGCTATTTACTGGAGGAGGGGGGAAGAGAAATAAACATTTATTCCTTATAAACAGTAGTTTATACAGTAGTGACGCGACGTTCCGGACAGGAAACTGGGAAACTAGCCCGTATTGTTCTGTCACTCTGGAAAGGTTTATTAAAGGAGAAGTGATTACGTTGCTTAAAGGCGTGGAAAGTCTTCGTTTCTGGAGACCCGGGATTCCAGTTCTTTACGCTGTAAATTGTCTCACAATGGATCCCGGTTTGGGCTAGCCTGGGGTTGTGCATTGCTTCAGGGGGAGAATTTAAAGAAAAAGACTCGATGGGGAGTCTGAAGGGACACAGGCAGGCATAGAAACTCTGGGTTTCTTGTTCAAGCCTCCGCTAGGATATCGTTCTTCTTTTGTGTATCCCAGGGCCGTATTTATCTTGCATGGCAGTTCCCTGAAATTAGCTGAGAACAGGCGATCTCGGTGTATAGTTAAGTTAAGAGCTCGGCGTTTCTATGAGATCAGCCAACATCCTGATTAGCGAAGCAGTATTTCAAACTTCACGCTTCCCCCGCGCCGCCACCCTCCCCCCACCGTGGCATTTAGAGTTCAATCTGTGAGCTCAGCTCCGTGATTTAGCATGTTGGGCAAGTAAATGGGCCAGATGCATACGTGCATATTGTTTGCATGGGTATAACAATATTTATATATTTATCTAGCCAGGGGTGGGTGGGTGTGCATGCACCCAACGATACACGTATATCTATGTGCGAATCCACACACCCTTCAAGCATTTCCCTTTGTTATTCATTTCTGTTTTCTAGGTCCACGAATCGTCCTCCCAGGGGTCTCAGCCTTCTCCCGCTGCCAGTTCAGGCTATGAATCTTCAACACCCCCAACAATCGTTTCTCCATCCACAGAAAACCAGACCACAAGCTCCTTATCCCCTTCATCTTCAGCAGTCCACCACACGTCCAGCCACAGCACGCTCACGTCAAATTTTAACGAATGGTACGTTTAAACAAACGAACAAACAAATGCAAATCCAACCTATTTAAAAGACTCCAAAAATTAATGAACACTTTGAAAATCGATCTTTTTGTGTGTTTTGATTTTTTTTTAATGCTGCCCATAGACCCAGGACCGAATCAAATCAAGAATTCTCTCTCTCTCTCTCTCTCTCTCTCTCTCTCTCTCTCTCTCCCTCTCTTCTTCAATTTCTGTTGTTTTGTTTTGGTTTTGTCGTGTTTGGGGCAAAGGCTTGGAAAGCAAATGGTTTTTTTCTAGAGTGCGTGAGAAGAGCAGGGTTATTGGGCCATCTTGCCGATGTGCAGGGCTTTTTAATGGAACCACTGACTGGAGTTCTTCAACTGCATGTCTCTTTGGGCAGCGCCTTGTTTTCTGTAAATACAGAAATACTAGCTTACAATGTACTGTTTGATTTTGTAAATAGTTATACCACAAGTTGAATAAGGGGATACGTGGAATTGTGGTCTTTGCATATATATGTGGGGGGAGGGGAATAGGGGAGGGGGCTAGGGGAGGAGGTTGAAAAGTGTGGGGGGGGAAGGAGGGAGGAGGTAGCAAATCATCTATTTGTACTGAATGGCAAGGATGTTCTAGTAAATGTGTACCAAAATGTGAATTATTTTGTATTATTACAGTCTAAACGTCGACCTAACAGAATATTATTGGTATTAATGTGCTTTTTCTTTTGTATAAAGTGCAAACATTTCGTCCCAAAGTCCAGTCTAAGTAGTGCAGTAAAATGTTGTTACACGTCCTGTCAAGAAATTCGTATAGTGCAAGCCTGGATCTGCGTGTCAAACTGTTACATTTGTTTATGTAAAGTGGTATTAAAAAAAAAAGCTATAAACTATAACCTGTCCATTGCTTTTGGCAATACAACCACATACTGTATATACTTCCTAATTTCCATATTTATCCGCATGTAAAGGTCCGGTTATACATGTTACAGATATTCAATATTTATGGCTAGAAGAATTGGTATGTACAATTTAGTTTACAGAACTGTTTGGTAACATTTCGTACCTTATTAAAGATTCTGAAATCCCATAATCCGTGGTAGGAATCCTTATTGACTCAGCCTGCTGCTGCTGCAACTTAGCTAGTTTTCAGGACAGTAAACGACAGACTGGACCAAGAATCCTGCCCCATGACTTCCACTCCTTGTCCTACTGTACTACCATTATGTCATCACTAGACCAGCAACTTTGATATTAATGTGATAAATTGATGTGCCCCTGCTGGCATTTAGGGTAGGATGTAATTAGTATTTATATAAAACCCTATGAAACAAAAGTTTTTGACTGCAATATAATTTAAATGACCATTGCTGACTCTTAGTAATAACAATAACTACAACTACAGCAGAGTAGCAATAGATTGCATAAGACCATGCAAATCTTGTCAGGGGGGAAAAAAGGATGAGGTGTTGCCACAATATCTTAAAATGGATTTGCTCTTTGCTACAATCAGTAATTGCGAAAATAATTCATATGTTTAAATTTGAGAAGCTTTTAGGTTTCATTTAATCTGAGTCATTTGAAATCGCAAGCAAAGTCTTTTTTTATTCTTGCAAGACCTTCTGCGATCCTCACCTCTTACCCCCAAAGCCACACCATTATATTATATCCCTCTGTTTAGATGCTCCGTTCTGTGTTTGCAGTTGGTCTATTTTTTTACTATAATTTTGCCAGAGTTGTTCCTTACCACAGCAGCAAAATAAAACAAACCCAGAGAGGGTGGGAGGGAGTTTATGTAGTTTGATTATCTCTTTTATTTCCCCCCATTTACTTAAGAAATTCGTTCCATTGGCTGGCGGTGATACAGTAAATTTGTAAATGAGAAGACAATATATATTAAAAAAATCTAAATTACTTGTGCTTAATGACTGTGGCAGAACGCCTTTTTCTCTAAATCAGATTGTCTTTCTTGCAGTTTAGTTTGATAGATTTGCAAGCTGTGGTGCTTCCGTTAACTTAGCGACGCTTGTAGGAACCGCTAGGCTTTGTTCCTTGGTGTAGGTTGCATGATCGCCCCATTAAGCAGACAACATATCAACAGACAACACAGATCATGAGCTCTCTGTGTTTGGGATATTATGTCACAGAGTGAATTGCACCTGCTGACCTCTCTTGTAGGCCAAGATGGCATTTTAACAGCTCCTTTTAAAATATAGATATATAGATATTTAGAAGTTCAGCGAGTCAGCCGCAGCATCAACGGCGATGAGGATTTGGGGATAGTGAAGCTGGTTTGGATCCCCAAGTTATCTTAGTTCTTAATACGCATGTCTACTAGCTACTCACAGTATATATTGACCTGGTATATATTTATTATTTTGTGCAGGATTTTTGTAAACAGAGTCATGGGGGAAGGAGAAGCTTGTATTTTGGTGTTTTGCTGGAACGTTTTACTTAAATCTACATAGGCCTCTCTGGACCCTTAGGAAGTAGGATCTGGGCCGCGGAGATGTGCTGCGATGTCTTATAGATCTTTTCAGTCGGAAAGAAACAGTTAAGAAATAGTAGAGCCTGTTTTGTGTTTTTGTTTTTTAAAAACTTCACTTTCTAGAAAATGTTATTCTAATGAGAAGCTCATTTATCAGCTCTTCCAGTGCAAAGAGCGCCACCTTGCAGGGCCTACAGATACTGAAAGAAGTTCGAGAGAACCATAGAGGCTGAGGCACAACCCGGAGGAACTGCGGCCGAAAGACACGCTGGGTATTCATTTAACCCTAAAGAAATGCAATGATAAAGTTTAGTCGTCTCCAGACCGTTAGCCTTAGCGGGAACGTAGCAGTTTCAGCGATTTAGTATGCGAGCCTAAATGGAAAAGGAAAGAAGATATAGGGCAATATACAATATTATCTCCCTTACCCGCCCACCCCCAGCATGATTGAAAAGAAGCATCGGTTCATTTTACAAAATCTAGAAGAATCTTAAAAGATAAATGCCATAGCTTCTTTGGGTGTAGATTTTATTATTATTATTCTCCAGTGGTAGTTTGTTTTAGAAATATGTTTTATCTGGATGGATTGCCTGGCTACCAATACCGAGTATTCTGTCATTTTCAAATCAGACGATTTTGAACATCATTAAAACTAAGTTCTATCTATGCTTGAAGTTGTATTGTAACACCCCCCAGCCAAAAAAACAACAACCCCATAGTATCCCCACGACCTATAAAATAACAGGCTTCTCGGAATAACCAGTCAGCCACACATATTTGGTTACACAACTCAGCGATGGGCGCTAGAATGTTTTAAAAGTTTAATACATTTAATTACAATATTGCATCTGTCTGGTTTTGAACAGATAAATAGACACGCACTATTTATATGTATGTGTGTGTTTACGCACTCTCTCACACATATATGGAGAGAGATCGTGGCTTCTTGTAAGAATGCTTAATTAACTCTTTTACTGAATAAATCAATACCTGGCGAAGATCATTATTTTTTTAAAAAAATACTTGACAAGAATGCTATTAAGAAGAGAGGTTGCATTAAATGGCCTTTAAAACTCCAACCCAGTCTCTCATTGTGCGGGTACTTTTAATGTCTGCTTCGTGAGATGTATATTTCATACTTTTCTTCATGGGCTATTAGGTATGGAAAGACGTGAACGCTGGCTGAGAAATATGAATTGTTAGAGTCTATTTAGCAGAAACTCCAGACAATGCAGAAGCGGGCTTGTGGGGCATGGAGAGCCGCGCGTTTGGATTATTGAGGCAGCAGCCTGTAGCTCAGATGATGTTGTTTTATTCCCAGACTCCGCGTCATCTTCCAAAGGATGTAAGATTTCTGTACGCCAATGCGGAACCTTTGAAGACCACCCAGAAACACTGTCCAAAATGTGTGGATATGATTATGTTCGTGCGGGTTTTATAGGCACACACACAAACCGCAGGTAGACTTCACTGGCTGCAATCCTGTGTACATTTACTTGGGAGTAACACCCATTTAACTTAGTATAATTTACAGACGAGTAAACACGCAACAGAAAAGATCATGCTTTTATCATGCTTGCAGGCAGAAGCTGTCTGCAACCTGAAGTTTTCATAAATATTTACGTTTTAAACTATTTTCCCCCAATGCTATCAATCACCCTCCCATACTTTCTGTAAATAGAAAATAGGAGCCGGTACTTGTGAGATGTAATCAGAAGCATACTTTGAAGTAAAAACCACTGATGTTAATACGATTAACTTTTGAGTATACATGGTTCTGTTAAATCTTAAAATTAAGCTTTTTAAGAACGAGCTACATTCGGAATAAAGGGTAGTGCAAGATCACGTGGAATTTCGACAGTAGTAGAGTGGCCAATCTGTTGCATGCTTTACAACAGGAATAATTTTGTTTACAAACGTAAAACATAAACTACAATTCTCTCTTGTTGTTGTTTAAAAAAGAAATTTGCTTTGCTCGAGAGCACATTTATACCCCAATCCTAAATAATGCAGACTCTTGGTTTCCCCCTGACATTCCACTGAAACGATCAGAAAACGAAATTCCATTTTGAATTATTGATTTTTCACGGAAATCTGACTGAAATTCCCATTTATTTCCCTGTAAAATTCAATTGAATCTACTTCCAAGTAACTGTTTAGGATAGGAGTCTAAGGGCAGGAGAGGGAAGAGGCAAATGAGAGGGCAAGCTGGCCTACAATATGAGCTCTCGAAGGGAGGCGGGATGGGAAAGCAGGGATGGAATAGTTCTAAATAATAAACTTGACGCATGATTTTCTTTGAAGTTAGTATGACAACCCCCCGAAAATCTATATGGGAAGATCTATATTTCTGGCAGAGGAGTGGTAGCTGGCGTCTTTTTGTCGAAAAAGGGAATACAGTTGTATTTAAAGGAACTGAGCGCAAGAAATGGACGGGCACTTTTACGCTTTTTCTACTTCATATACCTCCGTATGCCTACACTATCCACCTATAACCGCATTAGTGCCCTGTTCGGCGTATTTATTTACTTGGCTGTGTTTATGTAGCCTTTATGCGGACATTAGTAGACTTAACCTGTTCGAATGACGTAAGAATAAAAAGATATTGACCATTCACCAGTTACAAAGAGTTAAAGAGAGTCAGGTAACATTTTCGAGAAGAAAGCAAAATAAGGCTATGAAGGTTTTGATGGCGAGTTCCGGACAAAGGGTGTTTGCAGAAATTAGATTTATTTTTTTTTAATTTAAAGTAGGCAGAGGACAATTTATATATCACTCAGAAATCCTGACAAACCCACTTTTTTTTACACCTGCTGAGATTCCTTTACATGGGTTTTCGATAGGGCCTCCTAGTTATGGTTCCCCCTGTTTATATAAAACTTTTGTTTGGGAGCTAAAAATATACCAGATACATACATACATACATACCTACCTGTTATCTAATGTGCATCTAATGGACAACTATATGGCTTAGCTGTAAATTTCGTGCATACTGGTTCAAATCACATATCCCTGCTTGTTTTGCATTTGGTAACTTCGCATTTTAATTAATTTTTATTTGGCTTTCCTCCCACATTGCCTTTGATGCTTTTTTGTGTGGTCTTACCGTAGTACACTCTCCCCCTCCCCCTCTTTACTCTGTCTATCCACCACACACACACACACACACACACACTCCTCACTCTTAGACGTTTGCTACTTATTCCACTTGTTAACTTAAGTGTGTGTACATGTATGATTATAAAGAGAACAATATAATAAAATAAATGCTTACTTCTCTATTCATTTTAGAAAATAAATAGGATGTGCGCACGCACATGCACACACACATTATGCTTCTTGTGTACAATTGTAGTATGCCCATTTCTTAATTTTATTGTGTATATCTAAATCTATCTTTTCAATCTGTCTCCTACACAGTACATAACACAGTACATAAGCACTAGATGGTCAGGATATAAATCTTTGTATAAAATAATAAACAAATAATAAACAATTCCAAAATAATAAGTCAATTCAATCTTTAAACCCACCCTTCCCCTTCTAGGTTCTGTAAGTCAGGCCTGCTTCATCCTCGATTAACAAGAAACAGGATCATGTGAAACCAGAGGGCTATTTTTACCGTGCAGCTGGAAGCTGTCATCAATTGGTAACATTTATTTCAGCCTTAGAATGATAGTACAAAATAGCATGAAGTTTCCAGATGACACCCCTATTGGAGGCAGTGTTTTTGAAGAATAATAAATCAAATTAACTACCCAATCATGCTGGCTTCTCCAAGATAATGTGTGTGTGTGTGTGTACACACGTTATCCTGGGAGAGTCTGTATTTATATATGTGTAGTGTGTGATAATCTTGCTTGCTAGGACACGATCCGGCAAAATAAAGCACTTTGAAGTCACATTTATTTCAGTGGGAGTATGAAGCATGGGCTTATGCTATTTCCCTTGCAAGCAATGTGCTTAATATTGTTATGCATAACAATTATTTAAATATGGATTATACAAGACAGGCGTATTCAAAGATATACCTGTGCTTGTTTATGTTTGCGAATGTCCTTTTACGATCCCCCCTTTTTTTGACAATACTTTTAATGATATTTATTATGTGTCACCCAATTCGGTTATTTCTCATGTGCGTACGTTTTAAACCATTACAATTAAAAAAGGCAAAGGGCAACGACAGAGAAATAGGGAGGGGAAAATAAATAAGCAAATAAATAAATCGCATTAAACACACACACATACATCCCCCGCCACACAAAAAAACAAACAAACCACTGTAAGGCCACGTGGTTTCTTTTCCATACTGCCTCTTTCACGACAAGTGAATCTGGGGATTTGGAGATAGGTAACGTATTCTGCTTTGCTTTTTGTTAAGGAGAGTTCCTGGAAAACAAGAAAAGACCACGTTTTTAGAAGCTTCGCTGTGCTTTCTGGCTACATCAGGGCTGCCAGCGGTCTCTAACAGAGTTTTCCGATGCCACACATGAAACAGGCTGCTCTCTTTAAGAACACACAACGCTTGGCGTTAGATGTAGACTGGACGCGCATGCGCCTTCCTCAAGCTCGGGCACAGCTTCCACGTGCTGTTGCATATTTATAACTCTCAGCACTTCCTAAACTGTCTAGAGAAGGTAACCACACAGAGCCTAAATCATCGGGAAACCGTTGGCGAGGCTCCCAAAATAGTTTGGTAGGGGAATATGCACGTGTTTGTTTTCAGACATCTATGGTTTAAGCAATATCGTAATACTACAAGGCACAGAAGGTTCATAAACCTTGACAGATAAACAACAAACATTGTAACACCCCCCACCCCACCCGGAAAAACCCCGAGAGGCTCTATAAGGCGTCGGCAGCAATAGCAGCAGCAGCAACAAGACCATTCTCAAGGAGAAAAATTCTGTGATCGCAGCCACTCCGTGAACAATCATTTCACATCGGTTGAACCAGGAAGCCCTAGAGTTGCCACGCAGCACTGTTTCTGAAAGAAAACTTTATTTTTTACTCTTCTCACGACCCCATATATCCACCTCACATAATGTTATCAAATGCATTTTATTCCACGGTTAGGTGGGCCCAACCACTCCTCTCGAATAGATCTTTCCTTAGGCCCCAGCGGTGGCCCTTTCGCTACAGAGTGAGACCCTAACGCTTAGCTCTGGCTTGTCTGACAAATATCCTCCAGTCTGTCCCTCCTCCCTTTCTCCCAAGCCTCTACACGTCGGACGAGCACAACCTATCGCGTTGAATGAATCCTTTGACTGGACTCCTCAGCACTAATAATTTTCAGATGAGATGTCTGCCTAGGCCAAAAGCTTTCTCTGGTCTTAGGTGCTGACCAGAGCACATTCTCTCCGCCATTCCATCTACACCGGGGCGTAATTTATTTCTAGATCTTGTCCTACTCTTTTGGAATTAAAAGATAAACAGCGTGAAATATGACTGGAACCTCGGACCTGGAAGTACAGTAATTTCAGTTGGCCTAACTTTCTAGGTAAAAGTGTCATTTACAACTATTTAACGTGTGTGTGTTTAGAATGAGAATAGAGCCACCCTAATAGGCCAAGAGGGAGAAAAAGCTGCATAAATGAAAGATTGCTTTCTTTTTAAAAGAAGCTATTGTTTCCTAGCCCATTGTCTTAATGAGGAAATCACACACCAGGTACGCAGCAGTGACTGCTCGAGCTATGTTTAGCCAGCCTTACAACTCGGTCAAAGCTCTTGGATTTCACACTTCAGCCTGCCATTAAAGTCTGTAAGAGGGCACTGACTTAATGCTTAGCGGTACTTAAGCCTCTCTGAGTTATAGGTGGGACTAAAGGCGTGTAAAATAGATGGCACCTCATACAAGGCAGTGGCACCCCACTCGGAGTCAGCTTTGTCTCTCTCCCTCCCCCCCAATATAGACACACACACACACACGAAATCACCAATTGTCGATGACAATTTCTTCTCATCCAGTTCACCTCAAGGTGACATCAGGTTCAGACTAGAGACTCATTTTCAAAGTTAGTGGCTGGGCTATGATGGGTGGAGTAAAAAGGCTACATGAATTGCTTTTGACCACATCTCATTTGTGGACACTCTCTCTTCCTCCTCCCATATTTCTTGCCCCCTCCTCCCGTAATAAAGGATCTGCCATTATCAAGATTATTTCGCCCTGAAAACAACAACAAAATAAACAAATCTCGTCGGCGTTCCATTTCAGACCCCTGACATCTAAGCACTGTATGTGACAAGGAAATAACCCTGAGCCTGCAAATAGGAATAAAGGCTTAAATCTACTGTCTCGACTCCGATATCATTTACAACCATTTGTTTACACCAGGTTGGAATTTAAAACTAGAGACTTTTTTTTTTTTTTAAATGTAGGCTTCAACGACCGCAAATGTTCGTCGCAGTCCTACAACCCTGCGCCCACAAAGCATATTTTAGGCAGGATAACGTAAGAGATTTTGGTAACTTTTAAAAAGAGGATTGAAGCAAAGAGAACCACACGCGCGCACACCTTGATCACGTGCCCAGTCAATGTCTGTGTAAACAGATGGATTCGTTTTGTTCAAAACGTGGGTGGAGAAACCTCCGCCCCCCACAACTGTTGATCATCTTTCTTTTTATCTTCCTTATTTAAGATCACTGCATTCTAAAAACACTGTTGCAAGGTTGCTTTGTTTACGCACACTAAATTAGCCTACTAATCTATACTTCATAGATCCAGTTAAAACCCGGTTTCTTCTTCCAAAATAAAGATGTTTAGATACTTTTTTTCTTGGGGGGGGGATATTAAAATGCTAGGGTAACAGAGAATAAAATGCAGAAACACAGAACAAGATCCATAGTTAGATGTTTAGACCCTTCCCTTTCAAACTATCTATTCTAGCCTATTTTAGTATTTCTTTCATTCTTTTGGCCAATAATTAACAAGTACCCCCCCCAAAAAAAACCCTACACCAGCCTGGAGCTTTGTTTGAAAGCTGTTTTGTTTACAAAATAATATTTATTGTCAGGAGATCTCCCCCTCCCGCCACATCTCTTACCTCCGGAGCGTTTACACTTTTCGCTTAGCTGGAGGGAATGTGGAACTGAGATTTGGCCCTGGATATAATCTCCCCGTCTCTTTCCCTCTCCCTCTCTCTCCCTCTCCCTCTTTCTGTATAGATCTGGCACGGCTTTGCTCTCTTAACTCCCAGATCTTTGTTTCGGTGGTGGCGGCCAGAAAGAGCAAGAGAGCGCTGTGCTCTCAACTTCCCTCTGGCTTCCTTTAAAAACAACAACACACAAGTCCTCTTCCAACTTTTCCTCCAGTTATTCACTTCTCAACCCTACTGACAGCATTTGCCGAAAATCTACACTCCAGCTTTGGTAAGTGATGCGTTGCTCCATTGCAAAATGGCACTGCTCGGATAGCCTCTGCGCGCGCGTGTGTGTGTGACGTGTGGAAGAGAGAGAGAGAGAGAGAGAGAGAGAGAGAGAGAGAGAGAGTGTATGTTTTGTTTTGTTTGCGAGCAGCGTTGCCCAAATACTTTCACATCAAACAGGACAGAGTTAAACTATTGTGGCGTTTGAAATCGCAACAGGAACAAGCATGATCACTATCTGTTGGCTCGGACAGACTTTATGGCACGAAAACTGAATCTGCCCAGCAACTTTTTGTTGCTGGTATTGTTTTTGCTGGAGCTACTTTGAGGAGATCGAGGCCATGATATTTACATTTTTTTATACCAGGGCGTAATAACAAAGCTGTCACGGGGCTCTGAGATAATTCATTTAGGATTTAAGGGCAATTTAATATTATTATTAATGTTATTAATATTAATCACACTAGCACACTAGCACTAGTATTGTTGGAAATAATGCACCTAAAATATCCTTTTGCAATTTAAATGATATCTGCATATAGCGTTTTCCAGCCTCCTACAAATAAACGTTTTCACATGAACTTAAACTATTCTTATGAATGGCTTCTTAATGCGCCCATTCTATTAAATTGTAACTCGGAGTGACTGGAACTCACAGGTATTTAGAAAAGGTTTAATTTGAATTCCTTCTTAGTCCCCCCCTTCCCTTCCCTCCCCCCTTTTTTTTAAGGAAAGGAAAGTGAACATAACTGCTGTGTAGAGTTGACCTTTCGTTGACACGACTTGGTAGGAGACAGTTTGCAAATGAGGACTGGATAAATTAGATACTAAAGTTAGCGGGGTTTAGATGGTACCCGGCGATAAATCCACTGGAATTAGCCAGCGAAGTAGTTAGTCCTCGAGGTCTGAAAGTTTAACAAAGTTCAAGGGAGTCTGAACGGCATCTCGAGAGAGCCCTGGAAACTACAATGGAAGAGAAGATGATTCCCTCGGGTGAAAAAGCACAGGCAGTCAGTAGCACTAGCGGCGGCGGCGGCAACAACAACAGCACCTTCAAGTTCATTGCACTTTCCGCTTCTCGAAAGCTTTGGCTTTGGTTGTTCTCACTTTTCTGTAGTAGTTATAACAATAGCGTGGGCGCAGTGATTTCAGTTCTTAGAAAACCCAGCGCCGAGCAAGCGTGTGAAA